CCCGCCTCCCAAGACTACCATGGCTCCCGGCGAGTGCACGTGCACGCGCTCTTCTTTGTGGACGACGCCGACGTCCCTCAACTTCAGCTGGAGCGGAAGCTGGCAGCCACCCTTCCGGAGGACCCGGACCTCCGGGGCTACGTCCAAGGCTCGCAGCTAGACCGACGCGGCGGGAGCGGCTGGCCCGTTTTCCATGGCGCCTACGACGACGTCGCTGGCCGCAAGCTCCACCTGCACCACACACAGGAAGACAAGGACTCGGGTGACGTCCTGGACGTCCTCAAGTGCCACCAGGACTGGCAGTTCGCCGACGACGCGGGAGTCCTTCGAGCGTACGTCACCAAGTATGTCTCCAAATTCTCGGACTCGGCCTCGGACGAGTGGCTCAATGACTTCGCGGACGCCACTGCCGTCGCCGCCACAGTACTCATGCGGTACAAGCCCCTGGAACCTGAGATGATCTTGCAACTTTTCGGCCAGCGCTTCCGCCAGTGGCACGTCACGACGCTCTCCCGGGGCAAGCGCTACTTCCAGGTGCCCTGGCCAGAGAAAGCGGCCGCCAACAAGCCGAAGGAGATCGAGGCGTACGAGGCGGCTGCCTGGGCACGAGGCCGCATCAGCTTATTGGACTTTCTCCGCAAGACGAACGCTCGCGGCGAGATCATGGCTTACATCAAGAAGGAGCACAAAGCACGGGGGGGTGCCGAGAGCCTGGAGGACTTCGCTGCAGCCTTTCGGGTGCGCGGGGAGAAGCTGGTGGCAGCCGATATGGTCTCTCGCCTCAACGACCACTGGTACGGCCAGTGGCTAGTACTGCACGTACCCTTCCGGCGCTTGGAGGACCTCATGAACGCGGACGTCGCCTCCAAGGTGCCGCCCGCGCACCGGAACTTTGCCTGGGCCGTCTTCAGCAATCACCCAGTGGCACGAGCCACATGGACGGACGAGACGGCCATACGGGCGGAGCTCAAGATGGAGGCGCACAGCGAGCAGCACGCAGAGACGATCCTGCGGATGGTGGCCAGCACGCGCAACTTGCTTCTCGACTACCTCAACGGCAAGTACGACGCGGCGGCAGAGATTGCGACGAGGTCCACAGGGGCACAGCCGTCGGCGACTCCCACGGTGCCGAAGTGGAACGCCGAGCAGAGGCACTTCAAGGCGAAAGTGGACGGCCTCGTGGACGTTGTTCTGGAACTGCAGGATGCCGGCTCCGAAGCCCAAGCAGATGAGCTGCGTGAGCGCCTGTGGCACCGCAACAAGATCTGCGTGTGCGTTGGTCCTCCCGGCAGCGGCAAGAGCACTGTGGCCCACGCCTGCGTGGAGCGCGCCCTCGAACATGGCGGCCGCGTGCTTTTCGCCCTGCCCAAAGCCCAGCTGGCGAGCAGGATGCGTGAGCGGTACGGGGATCGCGTGGACATCGACACATGCCATGCAGCCTTTGCTTTTCACGAGGAAGTCAACAACCTCCCCACCCTGGCGCACTATGCCCTTGTGGTTGTGGACGAGATCTCCCAGCTGGACGCCTGGCAGTACGAGCGAATTGCGCAGCTCTGGAACGCCGCCGACCGCGGCACGGTGGTCGTCCTGGTGGGCGACAAGTGGCAGATGCCCGGGTTCGGGGATCGTCGCCCCTGGCACTCGGGCTTCTGGCACCCATTGACCTTCCGGGTCACCCTGCACGAGGCCTTTCGCTGCAAGAACCCGACCTTCTGGAAGCTCCTCTCCCAGCTTCGAACAGCACGCCCAGACAAGAAGAATTTGAAGTTCCTTGCTTCTAAGAAGCCGTGGCGAGGCGATGGGCCTCCGTCCGCGGAGGACGCACGCAGGCTGCTCAAATCTCGGCCCGACACGACCATCCTCACCGTGTCCAGGCGCGGAGCCCAAGCGGTCAACGATGCCGCGCTCCAGGGTCTCTTCCCACGGCATCCGCCAAACGCGTTGATCGATGCCGACGTTGAGAGTAACCCTGAGAACTATGTGGATGGTAAGCTCAAGGCTTTGGAGTCCTTGGCACCCGCCAGGCTGCCCGTCTATGTCGGCATGCGGGTGTACCTGACCCGGAATGTCCGAAAAGATGTTGATTTTGTGAACGGCATGAGCTGCCAGGTGCTGGGATGGGACGCCGGAGCCAAGGCCTTGCGGGTGGAGACCGCAACAGGGCATCGTTTTGCCGTGTGGCCGTGGACGGACACTGACCTGGGAAACATGGTTTACTACCCTGTGCGAGCAGGCTACGCTTCCACAGTGGGCCGCTTTCAGGGTGCCGAGCTACCACACGTCACTCTCTACCTGGATGCCCCGGGCGTCCCGGCGGCTGCCTACACTGGGCTTTCCAGAGTTTCGACCGGGAAGGACTTCCTCTTGGCTAGCAAGGGCCCCTTAACCGCGGACCACTGCGTGCCGGCCCGTGAGTGAGCAAGTCCCAAGGCAGATGACGTGAGTGTTCTCGTTTTCACCAGCACGGCGATCATGCAGACGCACAACCCGCAAAACCCTCGGAGCTCGAGCAGAAGCGGCCGCAAAAAAACTGCTGCTGCTGCTGCTGCACACACTAGTCCGCCTCGCATGCTTGCTCACATGTGTGTACGGGTGTGTGTGTGTGTGTGTGGGTTTTTGTATGTGTGTCTGCGTGTGCAAGTGTGACTGTTCCCGCTCGTGTCGTTTCCTCTCTGTGCCAGGGCGTGCCTCTCACTGTTTCCGCCACGGGCCCGGACCTCAGTTTCGTGCACCTCCGTGGATTGGAAGTTGATGCTGCGCTCAGGTCGCTGCCGTTTTTTTGCCACGAGAGGCCGTGATGACCTTGGGCAAAGACAGCTTCTCCTGGGCGCGGCGCGGTGGAAATTGATTCTAACCTCGATCCGAGGAATACTAAGAGGACAGCCGACAACAAACATATAAAAACCCTAAACCCGACCAAGGTCATAAACTGGGTGGGTGGGTTGGGAGAGGACGTGAACCTTGGCGCACACCACAACACACGCCTTGCGTGGTGGTGTGCGCGGAGCGTGTGACACACCCTAAACCCTAAACCCTAAACCCTACACCCTACACCCTAAACCCTAAACCCTAAACCCTAAACCCTAAACCCTAAACCCTAAACCCTAAACCCTAAACCCTAAACCCTAAACCCTAAACTCAGGGCCTAGGCCGCCCCCCTACAGAAGGGGGGCGGCGCTTAAGCCCTTTGACCTCTATGGCGAAAGTCGACCCAGGTCGCTTGCCCGCCTCCTGCAGCCAGGGGGTCAGTAGCACCCACGATGGGCCCGGTACCGGAGCAGGTTCTCCCGGGGACCTTAATAAAGTAAATACCCAAACCCAAACCCCAAGGTCTTGACCCTGGATGGTGCTGGCATTCCGGGAGGGGGTACCCCAAGGCCCCCAGGCCAGGAGGACCCGGACCCCTCACCGCAGCGTGTCCAGGGACCAGGGGGCCTCAGGCCAGGCCAGGCAGGACGGGTGCTCAAAAAGGCCTTTTTTTGCCGGTCGCCCCTGGCCCCCCCCCCTGACCCCCCCTGGCCCCCCCTGGCCCTCCCTGGCCCTGGCCCCTTTTGGCCCTCCCTGGCCCCCGCTGGCTGTGCTGGCCCCCGCTGGCCCCCAACCCCCCTTGGCCCCCCATGCCCTCCCCTGCCAGGGGGGGCCCCCTGGCCCCCCTTTGGCCCCTCTGAGCCTGGCCTTTGCTCCCCCCCTGACCCCCTTCCTGCCTGGCCTCCCGACCCACCTGCCCATCCCTCCAAACATCACGAAATTGAGCGTCAACGACGCTCTTTTTGGGTTTACTTTTGCCTTGATTTTTGGGATGACCCGCATGACGTTGCTGGCATAGGACTTTGCCGAGGTTTTCTGGCCAAATTTCCTTCTGAGCTCACCGCACAAAAGTCGAAATCGAGCGCTGGAGCGTTGAACCCTCAACAAGCGGCCTCAACCTTCAACGGTCCTTCCTGAACGGGTTGTCCCGGGGCCCCCTCGGGATGGGTTGTCCCGGGGCCCCCCCGGGACAGGTTGTCTCGGGGCGTCCCGGGGTGTCCCGGGGCCCCCCTGGGACAAATGTCCCGGGGCCCTCCCGGGACAATCCCGGGACAGCTGTCCCGGGGCCCCCCGGGACACCCCCAGGAAATTGTCCCGGGGCCCCCCCGGGACGCCGAAATTCGCAATTTTGGGGGTGTGGTCCGTTTCGTTTTCTGCGTTTTCGGAGGGATTTTGTGCGTTTTTCCAAGACCGACGCGGCAGCAAAGAGCCGCCAACTCGGTCCAGAACCCGTGTTTTTTGTTGTGTTTGCCGTGTTGGTTGCGGCGTCACACTTTTCGATTCAGTAGCCACGCATATACGAACCGGCAAACTGCGATCCCGGATTTCCTGCCCTCGCCTGCCTTCGTGCCATTTTGCTCCTCACGGCCCGTTTTTTCGCTATCTATTTTGGTCGTTTTTGTGTCGATTTTTGCGTTTCCTTTAAGGTTGGGACGCAGTCTCCCTACAAAACCTCCTGCGGGTAAGTATGCTAGATGTTGTTTTGGAAAACGTTTCCTGTTTTTAACTTAGGCCTTTGATTCCTGCCGCAGGAGGTTTTGGACGAAACACGAAAATTCATCCCATTTTTCCCGCCTCTGGGTAGCACCTAGCCATGCATGACTTTCTTTTCCAGCCACCTGCCCAGTAGCATTGCATAGTCGTATTGCTGTGTCTCTGAGGTCTGGATGAGAAGAGATGAGCACGCGGCGGGTCTTAGCTTTTTGAAAAGGCAGCGCGAGGGCTCGAAGAAAGGCCAGCTGCGAGCGCTCGCACAGGTGAGTATATTGCTGAGTTCGAGTCGACTCTCGTTAAGATGCTTTGTTTTGCTCGTCTGCAGCCATTTGTCGACAGACAACAGACAACATCTACAAGCTCACGCGATCCCCTTTCGTCTGCGCTCCTCGCTAATGTTCAGCAGCAAGGGCAAGCACGGCAAGGGCAAGGGCTACGCCGGTACTAGCGGCAGCTACTGGGGCGGCGGCGGCGGCTGCATGGGAAAAGGCAAAGGCACGAAGGGCTACGGTTACGGCGACCGCGATGCTTGGGCCCCGGCGTGGTCGCCGTCGCAGCACCAGGCGCCGTCTGGGTATGAAGGCGAGGGCCGCACTTCGACGCGTCGACTTCTTGGCCGCGACTCGATGGCCAAGAAGTTCCTGCGGCCCTACGCGGCCTCTTCTGGCAACTTCCTGTACGGCGACGGCACCGATGTGGAGATGCTCGCGAAGACATGTTTGCGACAGCTGCTCACCACGGAGGTATCGGAACTATCCCGCCGCCCTGCGTACGGGTTTTCCATGCTATCCACGACCCTTCGGGCTTTCGCCGCCGGCTTGCAAAGCGACGAGGCCAAGTCGTCGGAAGCCGCTCTGGCGTCACTCCTCCAAGGCAGCCAGGAAGGCAAAGCCTTCGTGGAACGTCTCGCAAAGACCGACTTCGAGACGGCGAAGCATCGGCCGCAAGACTGTGAGGATGCCTTCGAGAAGATCTTGACCTTCTTGAAGGAAAACAAGGCAATGCTCTACGAGCACTTGGCCCGCGTGGCTGCCCATGGAGCTCTGCTCTACGTTGGCGGACTACATGCTCTGGACGGGCTCATCAAAGCCGATGGCTTGGCAGCTTGGTGCTCGCAGGTTCCCTCCGACGAGTTCCTGCAGAAAGCCTTGGACAAGTGGAAGGCGGGCGGTAAGAAGCCGGCTGCCGCGGCCACATTCTTGGTGGAGGCGTACAGAGCACGCAAGAAGAGCGAAGCCGCCTGGAAGCAAGGTGGAGCACTCATTCGAGGGGACGATTCGGACGATGCAGCCGACGATCGCGCCCGAGCACTCTCTTCGTCCTCATCTTCGGAGACGTCCAAGAAGCCGAAGAAGGCGAGAAAGTCCAAGAAAGACAAAGGCGGTAAGAAGCACAAGAAGAAGTCGAGTTCATCCTCAAGCGAGTCCAACAAGAAGAAGGACGACAAATCCAAGAAAGACAAGGACGGCAAAGATGACGAGAAGAAAAAGCAGAAAGACGACAAGGACAAGAACCATGACAAGGACAAGGACAAGAAAGACAAGGACGGCAAGAAGGACGCAAAGCAAGCGCCGAAGGCCGACGAGGACCGGAGCAAAGACAAGAAGAAGCGAGGGTCTTCGAATTCTTCACAAAAGGAGAACAAGAAGAAGGAGCGCAAGTCTTCGAGGTCCGAGGAGCCGGCTGCAACCGTTGACAAAATGAAGATCCACTTCGTCTCGGCCCTGGACCCTGCCATCGTCGCCGACGAGACAAACCGTCTCCACGAGGTTAAGATGGAGGACGATCTGACGGTCGAGGGCACGGCACGCTATGTGTTAGAGGACCAGGGGATGGCCGGGGACCTCGTCAACTGGACGGCCCATGTGCTGCAGGATGGCAAGTGCGTGCCCATTGCTGCAAGCACCACACCAGCAACTGGAGCCCCCGAGGTCGTCTTCGTGCGCAAGGTCGATTGACTTGAGGCTCCGATGTCATCTAGACCGTGCCCCGTACATGTCCCACGGCCTATCACCTCATGACGCTGCTGTACACGCAGATCGAGGTTGTCTTCCCGTCGAAAAGTGCATGCAGCGCCTGCCCTGGTTGCTGTAACCTAAGTATTAGTGCAAGTGCGCCGTTCCTATGAAGGGGAGCAGAGACGGGAGCATGGAGTTAATAGACTTCCGTGGGAAACAGTATAGCGCATGTGTTGACGTGTGTTGTCGTCGGAAGCCCGGAGGCTTTCTAGGCGGGATTTGTCTGATAGTCAAGCGGCTTGTGTTCTCCAGATCACAATCCTGCACGTTTGCACTTGACTTGCCTGTTGCACCACGCATACTCATCGCAGCCGTGATATATCGTGTTATCGCTTCAGCCACTATTGTCCTTTTTTCGAGATCCATCCGTCGATAACATGGATCTCCTTGAACTTCAACTCATGGACACGGCCGCTCGCAGGCGCTGCGCGCGCGCAGGCACCGTTGCCTGCACCTTGCTGTGAGACGTTACAATGATGTCGTTTACTCTCGCACGCGCCGAGGACTCCAGGCGGCAAACGCCGAAGTGTCTCTTCGTGATCGTCTGGCTCACGCCTGCATCGACTTCGACTACTTCATCCTGTGGCTTCGGCGCCAGGTCGAGTTGCTCACGGTCCTGCGAGGCCTCCCTGTCTTGGGACATGGCGCCTGCGGGGATGCCGTGGTGGCCATAGCTCCTTGCCTGCAGCTCGGGCCCATTGTGTTTTGACCCCTATAGGTCCATGTGACTTCTCGACCCATCGTTCTCAGGCCGACTTCTGCGTGCCCGCACGACCGGCGGCGGAGCTGCCAGATCCTGATGACCTTGTCGCTCATCTCCCACCCCTTCGAGCTGACGACGGGCGTGATTGGACGACACTTGAGGTGACACAGCTATGGGCTGAGGCAAGGAATCTTCGCACGAAACCAACAAGTTAATAACAAGTCGGCATTGCGCGCAGCCTTTGCAGGTTCGTATCCTCCGAGTGCAGAACGCTGCCCTACGGGGTCACCTTCTGCGGCTAGGCGTCCTCGCCCGCGACCTGGAAAACCGCGAGGGCGCTGCCTTGTATGCGCTCGGCGGCCTGTGAGCATCGCAGAGGCAGAGATCGTCTTCCGTCCAAAAATGCATGCAGCGTCTGCCCTAGTTACTGTAGCGTGCATGGAATTGTGCCCTGATCGATGTCGCGTTGACGCACTGCCACCTCATCGGTCCATGCAAATCCTGCAGCACAAGGCCTGCCGCTGCCGCGCGAACCTTCCGGCGGCGGAGACGTTCCACCTCGCACACCTGCTCTTCCAGACTGCCGAAGGCCTCCTCGCCGGCACCAACCGACAGCAGACAGCCAGAGCGTGTCGACGGTGGGACCGGCACATCTTGGCGAGTCGCGACGCTGCCGGTTCCGGCGTGGTGGAAGTCTTCGCTCGTCTCGAATTCCAGGACGGGAAACGCAAAAGGCACGTGGGCCCGGGTCAATCCTATCATGGCTCCGGGCGTGTCCACTTGCACCTCTTGATCTGGCTTAAAGACGCCGACGGCATCGACTGGCCGCGAGTCGTGCGGGCAGACATCCCGGACGCAACCGCGGAGCCAGAACTGCACGATTTGGTGCGTGATTCCCAGCAGGACTGGGACGACAGCGCCTGGCCACGGAGAGATGGTCCCACGGTCTTTGACAGCGCAACAGGCGTCCTGCACCTTCACCATCCGGCCGATGCCCACGCAGCACATGTCCGGGCCTACCTGCCCGACCTGCTGGGGGCGCTGCAGTGTCACATGGACGTGCAGATGGGCGACGGCCGTGGGCTGTTGCTGCAGTACGCGGCCAGCTACAACGCCAAGTTCAGCGACCAGTTCGCAACCGCCTGGCTGAACGACGAGGCAACAGACTTCCAACTGGCCCGGAAGGTTCTTATGGAGTACCACCCACTCGAGCCCGAGATGTGGCTCCAACTCGCCGGGCAGCAGTTTCGGCAGGTGCTCCAAACCGGCGTGCTGCGCCGCGTGGTCGTGCGCCCGCCCTGGGCCGGCTTTCCGCCGAGCCGTTGGGAGTCGCTCTACGTGGCCTGTGACTGGCGGTCCGAGAGCTGCACACTCCTGGAATACCTGCGCCAGTGCAACCAGTCCGGAGTCAAGCGCAAGAACAAGCGCCGGGTGCTGGTGGCGGCGACGCTACACTCGCCTCTGAGGGACAGCTACTTCGGGCAGTGGCTGTTGCTCAACGTGCCCTTCCGTTCCCTTGCTGATCTGTGGGACGATCGGGCGGCGAAGGTGCCCGAAGGCTATCGGATGCTGGCCTTGTGTCTGCTGCACCGTCCCGGCTACTGGCGTCGCCTCCACGACGTGCAGCGTGATTTACAGTTGGAAGGCCGCAAGGACGCCCACATCTGCAACGTACTGAGCATGTTGGAGGCTCGCACCGCGGTCGTCGACGCCTATCTCTCCGGCCAATTGGCGCTCGACGTGGACATGCCTCCGCAGCCGGACCTCCTCGCCGCCCCCGAAGTCGGCTATCGTGGAGAATTGGATCCGGAGCAAGCAGTCGTGGTGGAACACGTCCGGAACATGGTTCGCTGGGCACTCGAGCGCCGGTACCCCGAAGACGCAGACCCCGCCCAGCTGCACGACTTCCTCGACCGAACTCGCCACTCGCCCCCACAGGTGCTGCAGCCCTTCTGCGTGCTGGGGCCTGCCGGGTCAGGAAAGAGCACCGCGCTGGAGGTGGCCGTCCAGCGCGCCGCAGAGGCCGGCGCCCATGTCGGCATTGCGTGTCCTACCGGCATGCTCGCGAGCGCCTACCGGGAGAAGTTCCCTGGTCTGGATGTCGACACCTTGCACGGCATGTTTCTCCTGCACCTGCCCCAGGAGGAGACGTGGGATTGCATGGGGAGCTTTGACTTGATCGTCATCGACGAGGTGGGCCAGCTCTCCCGCATGACGTTCGAGCGCCTGCTGTGGTTATGGGACAACGCAGATCGCCGCCCGGCTTTGGTGTTCGTTGGCGACTTCCACCAGCTACGGGGCATGGACCCCACGAGGGCCTCCGACAGCCCTCGCTGGCGGGGCGTCGTGAAGCGCCACCTGCAGACGATGCGGCGGTGCAAATGTCCCGAGTTGCGCTGGAAGCTAGAGCTCCTGCGCACCACCAAGCCTTCCAAGGAGCAGTTGCTCCGCATCCTGCGCGGGCATCGGGCAATGCCCGATCGGGGCCCCGGCGTCAGTCCGGAACCCACGGAGCTGGACGTCCAGGGGATCCTACAGGAAACGCCGCACACCTTGTTCCTGACGATCACTCGCCGCCACGCCGCGCTCCTCAACGATCTTGCCGTCCGAGCCCTATACGGAAATGCCGAGCCCCTCTGCTTCGTGCCGGGCGACTATGAAAGCAACGTGGACAACTACGACGACCTCGGTCAGCTCGTGGACTGTCAGCCGCTGCATCTTCCTATCCACGAGGGCATGCGTGTGACGCTCACCCGGAACGTGCAGAAGGAGCAGAACTTTGTCAACGGCATGCGTGGGGTCGTGCTGGCCGTGCAACGCTCCTCCGTACTGGTCCTCACGCACTGTGGCAACGTGGTCTCCGTGTTTCCCTACACGGACGACGAGATTGTCGTCGCCGGGGAGAACCGACGGATCACCTACTTGCCGATCAGGCTCGGGTATGCGACGAACTTGCAGAAGATCCAGGGGGCGACCCTCGACCACGTGACGATATGGCTCGACGTCCCCAACGTGGAGGCCGCGGCCTATGTGGCGTTGTCCCGAGTCCAGTACGACCAGAACTGGCGCTTCCTGGGGCACGTGACGCGGCACCACTTCACCCCGGCCTCGGGCGTCTGAGCGGCTCTTCCCACAGAGGCTAACACCAGTGATGTATCTTTTGCTTGCCGAAGCTCAGCTAGAGCCACTCTATTACAGTGCACATGAACTGTGTCTATAGCCGGCCTACGCACACAGGCAAACAGAGCACATGCGATAAAGTGCAAGCTGAAGGGTGAGGCTCCAAGATACGGCCAACCGGCGAGTTTGAGATCTGCACAGCTCGACCGCTGGTCCTGGAAAAGAGCAGTCTCGCCACTAATCTGCTGCAAGATCCTGTCGCGTTTATGCCACGCAACACGTGCTCACCATTTGCCGTTCCGTTGTGCCTTCTCCTGGCTCATATGAAGGTTCATGCTGTGCTGCACACCTGCTGCCTCACTGTGTCCTGCCCTCAGCTTTTTTTACCGCGCCAGTCCCCGGACGAAGCTCGACCCTGTAAACTTCCCACTTCCACGAGGTTTAAAAAAAACGAAAAGGTATTGAGTTTAGACCTAAACCCTAAAAGGAATAGGTAAGGGTGGCTTTGCCGCCTTAAACGGCGTGGGGTGGGAGAGAATTTTAGAGTGGCCCTCCACGATCGGGCCATGGCCGCCCTTCGCAATGCTCAAGGCCTTCGAGGCTTGGCTGATAACCGCAACATTTTCAGCTTCTGCGCAATATTACAGCAAACCCTAAACCCTAAACCCTAAACCCTAAACCCTAAACCCTAAACCCTAAACCCTAAACCTCTCTTTCATATATAATTTAAATGTTAAGGAGTTACTGGGCAAGGTCATTTTTTTACTGGGCAAGGTCATTTTTTTACTGGGCAAGGTCATTTTTTTACTGGGCAAGGTCGTTTCGTCAAAAAAAACGACCTTGCCCAGTAAAAAATGACCTTGCCCAGTAAAAAAATGACCTTGCCCAGTAAAAATGTTACTGGGCAAGGTCATCTTTTTACTGGGCAAGGTCATCTTTTTACTGGGCAAGGTCATCTTTTTACTGGGCAAGGTCATCTTTTTACTGGGCAAGGTCATTTTTTTACTGGGCAAGGTCATTTTTTTACTGGGCAAGGTCATTTTTTTACTGGGCAAGGTTACTGGGCAAGGTCATTTTTTTACTGGGCAAGGTCATTTTTTTACTGGGCAAGGTCATTTTTTTACTGGGCAAGGTCATTTTTTTACTGGGCAAGGTCATTTTTTTACTGGGCAAGGTCATTTTTTTACTGGGCAAGGTCATTTTTTACTGGGCAAGGTCATTTTTTACTGGGCAAGGTCATTTTTTTACTGGGCAAGGTCATTTTTTTACTGGGCAAGGTCATTTTTTTACTGGGCAAGGTCATTTTTTTACTGGGCAAGGTCATTTTTTTACTGGGCAAGGTCATTTTTTTACTGGGCAAGGTCATTTTTTTTACTGGGCAAGGTCATTACTGGGCAAGGTCATTTTTTACTGGGCAAGGTCATTTTTTTACTGGGCAAGGTCATTTTTTTACTGGGCAAGGTCATTTTTTTACTGGGCAAGGTCATTTTTTACTGGGCAAGGTCATTTTTTAACTGGGCAAGGTCATTTTTTTACTGGCAAGGTCATTTTTTACTGGGCTAGGTCATTTTTTTCCTGGGCTTTTACTGGGCAAGGTCGTTTCGTCCAAAGGTGTTTAGGATTTCCGGGCCTAATGGTTGGGGTTTCAAGGCCTCACGGCCTGGTGTTTAGGGTTTCAGGGCCTCAAGGCCTGCTGTTTAGGGTTTCACGGCCTCACGGCCTAGTATTTAGGTTTCAGGGTTTCAGGGCCTCAAGGCCTAGTGTTTAGGGTTTCAGGGCCTCAAGGCCTGGTGTTTAGGGTTTCAAGGCCTCAAGGCCGGGTGTGGCTTGTGTTAAGTGCTTGGTACTACGGCGTGATTGGTGCATCCGAAGAGAAAATAAGTAACCTTCTATTTTCTTAATGTTATGGGATTCTTTGGGCGGGTGGGTTTTTTCCGTTGCCTAGATACACTGCTGGCCTAGTAAATGCTCGAACTTGAGATGCTGAACCCTAAACCCTAAACCCTAAACCCTAAACCCTAAACCCTAAACCCTAAACCCTAAACCCTAAACCCTAAACCCTAAACCCTAAACCCTAAACCCTAAACCCTAAACCCTCCTAAACCCTAAACCCTAAACCCTCCTAAACCCTAAACCCTAAACCCTAAACCCTAAACCCTAAACCCTAAACCCTAAACCCGCCCGCCACCCCTCTCACCTCTGTTGGGGTAGGCGGGCGCTGTCGAGCGGGCAGCGAGACCAAGCAGGCTGAGCTGGGCAGCGAAGCCTGCAGGCAACACCCCTGAGGAGAGTCGCCTAGCTAGAGTCGCCTAGCAAGTCCCTGATTTATATTGTATTACCCTAAACCTGGCCATTTTGCTGGGCGGAGGCGCGCCCTTTAAAACGGATACCCCCCCCCCTATCCGAATTCAATTTCGGGGGGCCCAGGCCTTTAAAACGGAAACCCCCCCCCCCCATCCGCAGTCCATTTGGGGCCGAAGCTTGCTTCCCAATGCTTTTTGAAGCCCCAGAGCTCCTTTGAAAGCCTTTCAAGCTGCTTGGGAGCCTTTTAGGGACCTCCAAAGGGTCACCGGACCCCCGCGACCTTTTCACGGCCTAATTTTGGTCAAGGGGGGGTCGTATTTTTCCATTTTTGAAGCAATTTAGTATTCGGAGACCCCCCTTGCTCGAAACTCCGACCCCCCTTGAGAAGGAAAGTTTGCCTCCAAAAACACCCCAAATGAGGGAGGGGCCCCAGGATCGGCCCAATTAAAAATGCGATTTTTTAATACTGAAATCGACGGTTCTGGGTGGGCTCTCGTTTTCTGGATTTTTTCAAGGTTCTTTCAAGGTTTTTCCAAGCCTCCCAGAGCTTCCGAGGGCTTTTTGAAGCCCGTAGAGCCTCTTCAAGAGCTTTTCAAGCTGCTTGGGAGCCTTTTAGAGACCTCACCGGACCCCGGCGACCTTTTCACGGCCTAATTTTGGTCAAGGGGGGGTCGTATTTTTCCATTTTTGAAGCAATTTAGTATTCGGAGACCCCCCTTGCTCGAAACTCCGACCCCCCCTTGAGAAGGAAAGTTTGCCTCCAAAAACACCCCAAATGAGGGAGGGGCCCCAGGATCGGCCCAATTAAAAATGCGATTTTTTAATACTGAAATCGACGGTTCTGGGTGGGCTCTCGTTTTCTGGATTTTTTCAAGGTTCTTTCAAGGTTTTTCCAAGCCTCCCAGAGCTTCCGAGGGCTTTTTGAAGCCCGTAGAGCCTCTTCAAGAGCTTTTCAAGCTGCTTGGGAGCCTTTTAGAGACCTCACCGGACCCCGGCGACCTTTTCACGGCCTAATTTTGGTCAAGGGGGGGTCGTATTTTTCCATTTTTGAAGCAATTTAGTATTCGGAGACCCCCCTTGCTCCCCCCTTGAAGGGGAAAGTTTGCCTCCAAAAACACCCCAAAGGAGGGGGACCCCAGGATCGGCCCGGGTCCCAGTTAAAATGCGATTTTTTGGTACTGAAATCGACGGTTCTGGGTGGGCTCTCGTTTTCTGGATTTTTGACCAAAGCCAAACCTTCACCGGTTTCAGCCAAAAACACCCCAAATGAGGGGGGACCCCAGGATCGGCCCGGGCCCCAATTTAAAATGCGATTTTTTAGCACTGAAATCGACGGTTCTGGGTGGGCTCTCGTTTTCTGGAAAAACCGAGCCTTGCTCCTTCCGGACAATTTCTGCAGGCTCCTCCCGGACAGTTTCTGAGCTTTGTTGGGCTCCTCCCAAACAGTCGCCTTTTGGGGCTCCTCACGCACAACTTCTGGCTCCTCCTGGACAGTTTCGTGCTTGTTAGGGGTCCCGGACAGTTTCTGAGCCTTTTTCCAGTTTCTGAATTTTTTTGGCTCCTCCCGGACAGTTTCTGGGCCTTTTTGGGCTCCTCCCAGACAGTTTTTCGAGCCTTCTTGTGGGCTTCGGGGCCTTTTTGAACGCTTTTTTTGGGCTACTCCCGGAAAATCTCTGCACTTTTTTGGGCTCCCGGACATTTTGGGCTCCTCCTGGACAGTTTCGCGCTTTTTCGGGCTCCCGGACCTTTTTAAGCTCCTTCCGGACAACTTCTGAGCTTTTTGGGCCCGGACAGTTTCCGAGCCTTTTTGGCTTTTTGGGCTCTTCCCGGACAGTTTCACGTTTCTGCTCCTCGCTTTTTGGGCTCCTCCCACACAGTTTCTAAGCCTTTTTCGGTTCCTTCCGGACAGTTTCCGGGGCCACAGTCTTCTGGGTCAAAACTCTGACCCCCCTTGAAGGGGAAAGTTTAGTTTCTCCCAGACCATGTCTTTTTATGCTTCGGACCAGTCCATTCTGGGCTTTTCCCAGACCACAACCTTTTCACAGCCTAATTTTGGTCATTTCAGACCCTTTCTGAACCTTTATGGGCTTCGGACCAGTCCCAGACCCATTCTGAACATTTTTTTGCTTCTCCCAGAGCTTTTTTGAGAACCCCCCCTTGGTCAAAACTCTGACCTCCCCTTGAAGGGCAAAGTTTGGCTTCTCCCAGACCCTTTCTGCGCCTTTTTGGGCTTCGGACCAGACCCAGACCCATTCTGAGCATTTTTTTGCCACTCCAGAGCTTTTTTGAGCCTTTCCCGGACCATTTCTGAGCCTTGTTGGGCTTCCCAGAGCTTCTCCCAGACCAACTTTTTTGGGCTTCGCCCGACCATTTCTGGGATTCTAGGTTTTCCTTAGACTTCTTCCAGACCATTTCTGGCCTTTTACTCGGAAACTTCTGACTATGTTGCGCAAAGCTTCAACGAAAAACCGCTCGACAATTCGACGTAGAGAATAAAGAAAGCAATGAGAAGGCCCTCCGGCCGAAGACTCCCCCAACGCAAAACATTTGTTCTGTGGCTGTAGTTTCTTTATATATTCTGAATACAAGCTTCTGGGCATGTTTTTCATAAGGCCTCATTGCATAATCACACTTTCGCCATGTGGCTAATCCGACGCAGAAACATGTTGAATGGCTGGCTGGTTTTGGCTGGCTCCGGCTCGATTTTGCCGTGAGTTGTGTTCGCCCACCCGCGTTGGCGTGGATTTAGTCACGAGCAACTTGGCTCTGTTGGAAACCCGACTCAAATGTCCCATAAACATAATAAGCTGCAAGTGAGTTGTGGAGTGGCTTTGGCTTGGCTTGGCTGGCTCCGGCTTGGTTTCGTTTTGAGTAGTGTTTGGGTGGCCTTGGGGTGGGCATGTCTGCACACAACTGCGTACAGCTGACCCGTGCTACACCCTAAACCCTAAACCCTAAACCCTAAACCCTAAACCCTAAACCCTAAACCCTAAACCCTAAACCCTAAACCCTAAACCCTAAACCCTAAACCCTAAACCCTAAACCCTAAACCCTAAACCCTAAACCCTAAACCCTAAACCCTAAACCCTAAACCCTAAACCCTAAACCCTAAACCCTAAACCCTAAACCCTACACCCTACACCCTAAACCCTAAACCCTAAACCCTAGACCCTGGACCCTAAACCCTAAACCCTAAACCCTAAACCCTAAACCCTAAACCGGGCTTAGAAGTCTAATCACTTCCCCCTTGTATTAAACGCCCCTCTGATTATCAGAACACTTTCGGGAAAATCCTGCCGAAACCGACCCCGCTATTCAACCCTATTCCGACTTGGGGGCGGGGGGGGGGGGGGGGGGGTCAGAGCCTCAAAAGGTTCAAGCCACTCTAAACCCTTTCCCAAAAGATGGCATATAGATTTAAAAAAAAAAAACATCTCCCCCAACACTGACAACACATTTCGAGTTTCTATTGGGGGGGGGGGGGGCGTTTAATAATAGGGTGAAGGGATTACAGGGTTAAGGGCTTTGAGTTGTTTCGGGTCTAGGGTTTAGGGGCTAGATAGGGTTTAGGGTCCCGGTTTTGAATTTAGGGTTTAGGGTTCCGGGTGTTCAGGCAGCAATGAATTGCATGAGCATAAATTCTCTTACTCAAAATTAGACCCACTTGGGGTGTTTGCTGGCTCTCCCTCCCTTTCATCCAAAGTCGGCGGAGATTGCATCCCTAACCCTAAACCCCTAAACCCTAAAACCCCAAACCCTAAACCCTAAACCCTAAACCCTAAACCCTAAACCCCAAACCCCAAACCCTAAACCGTAAACCCTAAACCCTAATCCCTAAACCCTAAACCCTAAACCCTAAACCCTAAACCCTAAACCCTAAACCCTAAACCCTAAACCCTAAACCCTAAACCCTAAACCCTAAACCCTAAACCCTAACCCTAAACTGAGTTTTAACGCCCTACATAGCCAGCCCTCGGAGAAGCCCTGCGGACCTGAGCCGTCTGCTCTCAACCTTCAACCTCGCTCTGCCTCAGGAGCCACCCGAAACATCAAACCCCAAGCCCGAAACCTTAAGCCCTAAACCCTAAACCCTAAAAACCCGAGGGTTTGGGTTTAAACCCTCTAAACCTCTAAACCCCAAATACCCAAGGTTTTGAGTTTAGAGTCCATCTGTTGGACCCATATAACGGTTTGGGGTTTAAGGTCTCTCTGAGAGTACACTCCCTAATTACAGCTTCGGATACCAGCAAAGGGGGGGGTGTTTGGGGTGTGTTCGGCATTTTGGTGTTTCTGCTTTTTCAAGGGTGTTTAATAGCCTCAGGTCAGGCGTTCTTTCGAGGCAGGGTACTTAAAGATCGTGCGGCGTGGTTCATTTTAGTGAAGTATCATCTGCCCAAAGCCCTAAGCCCCAAGCCCTAAGCCCTAAGCCCTAAGGCCTAAGCCCTAAGCCCTAAGCCCTAAGCCCTAAGCCCTAAGCCCTAAGCCCTAAGCCCTAAGCCCTAAGCCCTAAGCCCTAAGCCCTAAGCCCTAAGCCCTAAGCCCTAAGCCCTAAGCCCTACGCCCTAAGCCCTAAGCCCTAAGCCCTAAGCCCTAAGCCCTAAGCCCTAAGCCCTAAGCCCTAAGCCCTAAGCCCTAAGCCCTAAGCCCTAAGCCCTAAGCCCGGCCGAGAGGCGTGGGAGAACGGGGAGCGAGATAAAGCTGCGAAGTCCGGCGCGACGGCTTCAGTCGCGAATGCCAAGTCGTGACAGACAGCGCCAGTCAAGCCTACCGGCTCGTTGACGAGGTTGTGCCACTTGTGCATGCCAGCACGGACCTTGCAATGAACGTGGCCGCGGTGTTTGGAAGCACAGCATTCGACACGCGCACGGCTTTCCAAAAGAACGTTATGTTGTGAGGGGTCCGGACGGCGAATCAGCGGAAGGGACATGCTTGTGCCGTATGATTGTTCCTAGCCCTGGCCCTATAGCCTCGGAGACATAGAGTTCACGGTTTTGGTGTTTTTCCAGGGTTTAGGATTAGCTGAGATTTTCTGGAGCGCATGAGCGTACCCTCCCAAGACCCAGCTGTGTGGATCAAACGAAAGCCGAAAGCCACATTTGCAACAGCTTTGGCACCTGGGCAGCATTGCGACCAGTGCACTCCCCACCAACAGCGCAACGCCCTCTCGTCGGCTATCCAAGCCACGGATCTGGCGCCAAGCATGTGGGTCGAACGTGTAATCCTCCTCACTCCATTGTTTGAAGCACATCATCCACGCTCTTGAGGCCATGGTGAGGCCAAATCGTCCAGACTTGGATGCTATGTCCATCGAGGAACTCATGGCATACCTCGAGCGACTGCGAGAGAGGCGCCGGCAACAGGAGGACCACTATGCCTGACTCGTGTGACGCATGAGCTATACAGTTATTGTCATTGTTGAGCATGGTTGCGCGACGGAACATGTCTCGCAGAAGCACCGTCAGCAAGCTGCTGGACCCCTGGTGAACTGAAGAGCTGCGCAACTGCTGCGCAGAGTTTGTTTGTAAAGGTGTCAGTCCCAAAGCAGGTCACTTGGCTAAGCTGGTTGAGCTGAGGCGCAAATTTTCAAAAACTACATCGGCTCCTGGGCCCTGTCCCAAAAGGCAGCAAGTCTGCTCTTGTCTTTCAGCAAAAGTGTAAGTTTCTAAGCCCTAAGCCCTAAGCCCTAAGCCCTAAGCCCTAAGCCCTAAGCCCTAAGCCCTAAGCCCTAAGCCCTAAGCCCTGAGCCCTAAGCCCTAAGCCCTAAGCCCGAACCCTAAACCCTAAACCCTGGTACCTGCGCGTGCTCCTTAAGTGTAGATGGCTCGCATCGAGGCCCAGGGAACATCTTCTCGCCGAACCAGGTCAGTGACTTCACGACGACGGTGACCATAGGCCAGCTCAAGGGGTCTCGGGTTCATCGTGGGGCCTTACATGGTGGGGTTTAGGGTTTAGGGTTTAGGGTTTAGGGCTTAGGGTTTAGGGTTTAGGGCTTAGGGATAGGGGTTTAGGGTTTAGAGTTTAGGGTTTAGGGGTTTAGGGTTTAGGGTTTAGGGTTTAGGGTTTAGGGCTTAGGGTTTAGGGTTTTTGGGTTTGTTACATGGTCCCTTAGTCTGGGCCCTTGAACGGGGACCCCTTCATACACCCCTTCTATACCCTGCACAACCCAAAGGGACTATATTATAACCCTAAACCCTAAACCCTAAACCCTAAACCCTTAATTTAAGGGCCCATTATGCAGCTACCCTCAGAGGTTCAGTGTTTCTATAGCCCTCTTAGGAGGTATTTTTAGCTCTCATGTTGTTGAAAAACCTGTCGGAGCATTAAAACGCAGGAGAAGAAGAGGTTTGAGGCCTGGGGTTTCAGGCTTCTTGGGTAATCTAGGGTTCAGGGCTAAGGTCTGGGGGTTTGAGGGTGTGTGGTTTAGGCCTACATTTCCTGTTCTCTTCGTTTGAGTAAGGGAAGCCCTAAGCCCTAAGCCCTAAGCCCTAAACCCTAAACCCTAAACCCTAAACCCTAAACCCTAAACCCTAAACCCTAAACCCTAAACCCTAAACCCTAAGCCCTAAACCCGAAACCCGAAACCGCACCCGAATTAAACTTAAATGTCTAAACGCCAAAGCTCGACGACCGCGCTCGGGGGATGCTCGAGGCCCTGATGAGACGGTGGAGCTCAAAGTTATTTTCAGCACGAAGCTGACCGCAGATCAGGTCTGGGGTTTAGGGTTTGGGGTTTAGGGTTTGGGGTTTGGGGTTTAGGGTTTAGGGTTTGGGGTTTGGGGTTTGGGGTTTAGGGTTTGGGGTTTAGGGTTTATTGCAAGTTTTTTTTGCAGGGGGAGGACAAGGAGGGAGGGGCGGGGGGGATGGGGCGGCGGGGATGGGAATTGCAGGGTCTTAAGGTTCGTAAGGGCTTGGCTTAGAGTCTTGTGGTTTTTAGCAGGGTTCCCATGAAACCTGACGCTTTCAGGATGGGTAAGGTTTCGGTCGGGGTATCAACCCACCCTCCTAGAATCCCTTTCCGTCTGATTTATGTATACATGTTTCTTGCTTGACTCGGCGCTCTCTACATGCCTCCTTCCAGAAACTTCCTCCTCTTCATTTAGACCAGAGCCCAAGGATCCAGGGCTTTTTAGCAGGGTTCCCATGAATGATGGGTCTCAGGATACGCGTGTCAGGAAGTTGGAGGGAGGGTAGAGGAGGCCTGGGCATCCCAAACAAGAGAGGAGGGGGATTCAGGGGGGGCCCAGAATGCCAAAACAAGGCAAACAAGCATATATTTGGGCACAAAAGACCTAGAGGTTTGCTGGTCCTTGGGGTTGGTTGTTCCAAGTTCAGATTTAGGGTTGAGGCTTAGGTTTTTTCTCGGGTGAGGGGGGTCTTCTAAAGGCTTCCAGAAGGAAAGCTAGGCCAAAGAGCAGCTGCAAGCGGACCCAACAAGATCTGAACTCCCAAATGCTGAACACCCGAAGCAAACGCCTGAACCTCTCAGCCCTGAATCCTACACGTACCCATGCATATTTAAACCTTAATGCAACGTTTTGGTCTCAAGCCCCAAGATCCCAACCCTAAACCCTGCACCCCAAGTCCTAAACCGCAACGCCGCTCAGATCAATGCCGGGGCCATGGGGGCAGCCTCGGTCGTGGGCCAGCACCTGGTCGCCCAGCCGAGACCATCTGCTTGCTTGGGGTTCAGGATGTTTAGGGTTTTGGGCCGTGGGTGGACTTGGCGGGGCCGGGGGAGCATTGCAGTTTCATGCTTCGTGGTGTTCGTGGCATTGGGGCCCTAGCTGGTGCTTCGGCCCTAAACCCCAAACCCCAAACCCTGAGCCCTACGCCCTGCCCTAAGCCCTAAACGATTCAGACGGGCGCGATGATAGCTGGACGGCACTCCTGGATCCCTAAACCCTAAACCCTAAACCCTGAGAATCCGAAGAGCTCACCAGGGCCCGAGGTCCTATGAGCCAGTAGCCCTAAATCCCGAAACCCCTAAACCCCTAAACCCTTAAACTGTTAAACGAAACCCTAAATCCCTGAAGCTCTAAAACCTCTAAGCCTCCTGAACCCCAAGTCCTACATCACCCCTCTAGCACCCTCGAACCTGAGGACGGAATCCTCAACTCTCCTGAGCTCGAAATCCCAGGATCCCTAAACCCTAAACCCTAAACCCTCAACCCTAAACCCTAAACCCTAAGCCCTAAGCCCTAAGCCCTAAGCCCTAAACCCTAAGCCCTAAGCCCTAAGCCCTAAGCCCTAAGCCCTAAGCCCGAAGCCCGAAGCCCTAAGCCCTAAGCCCTAAGCCCTAAGCCCTAAACCCTAAGCCGCCAGCTTCTTAGGTGAATCGTTTTGCACATCCACTTCGGATCCAAAAGGCCTGCCTCCACCGGGTCTCGGGCCTTGGGGCTTTAGGGTCTGGGGGTTTTAGGGTTTAGGGTTTGGGGTTTAGGGTTTAGGGTTTGGGGTTTAGGGTTTGGGGTTTAGGGTTTAGGGTTTATTTTTTAGGGGGCTTTGGGGTCTTGGGGCTTTCGGGACCCTAGGGGCTAGGGTGGCTGTTGTTGAGTGTAGGGCTGGTAAGTTCTTTAGGATGAGTGTGTAGGGTTGGTGGTTTTGTGTTCAGCTCGGATAGGTTTAGGGCTGGGGGCTTGTAGAGTTTCGGAAGAGTTTGGGGATTCAGGGCTTGTGGAGGTGTGGATGTTGTGGCGTGACGCAGGACTGAGGTTTACGGGTTTTGTTGGGCTTCAGGTTGGGAGTTAGGCTGTCATGTGTACGACCCTTTTCAATGGCAAGTCCATGTGGACCCTTATCGTCCAACCCGGAATCCACAGTTTAGGTTTAGGGCTTATGGGGTTTTAGCGTTTAGGGCTTCGGCTCCTAAACCCCGAGCCCACGGTTCAGATGTGACCAAGCAGCCACAAAGCAGGTTGGAAAGAAGTTCTTCACCAACTGCCCCCAAGCGCGGGAGCTCACTGTCGCTTTTCAGGGGGGTGGGGGGTGGTTGAGTTGTTGCCCAGACCCCCAAACCTTAAGCCTCATGCTTCCCAAGGCCATCCCTCACAAACGAATACCCGAAGAAGTACCCGCATTTGTCCTAAATGCAGAAGCCAGGAATTGAGGGGAGTTTAGGATTTAGGGTCGGACTTGGGAAGTGCTTTTTCCTAGGTAGGATAAGGGGGCCCCTTTAATGGGAGCCTCTTCTGGCTCTCTTAAACAGGGACCTTATTCAGAGGGTCTATATCCCCAAGGGTCACCCTAATCCTATCCCCTACTTTTGATCTTCAGGGCACAGGTCTTGGTACTTCCCATGGCCGATTGGAGCTTCAGTCGCTTCTGGTAACATGTTCGATTCTAGGGGACGACGAAGGCTTTGCTTTTGGTAACGTTCTAAACGGGTCCCCTTTGGGGTCCTTCTTATAAATAAAGAGCGATCCCCCCCCCCCCCCCCCCCTCCCCCCCCTATTGCGAAAGACCTCGGCCCGACAACTTGAATGTTGCTGGTCGCTCATATGGGTGTCAAGGGACTAAAGGGGCAACAGGGGGTACCAAAGGGTTATTTAGGGGCTACTCAGGTATATAGGGGACTGCCTTATATATATATATATATATATATAACGTATAGACAGGGGTTATATACCCAGTGAACTAGCTGCTTAAGAATGCCACAGGAAGTGGAAAGTTGCAACATTTCTTACCATTTTCAAACATCGAAAGCGCCTAGCACACCACAGCACAACCAACTGAAATGTCACCAACACTGGCCCCATTACAAGCGCCTGAAACTTCGAATCGTACAGATCGGGTTTCGGGTTTAGGGCGCCTGTTAAATGCAGGAGAAGATTTGCCAAGACTTTCCAGCAATATGGCCACCTCTCCCTGCTAAGCCCTCACGAGCGCCTTTCTAAACCCGCATGAACACCCTAAGCCCTAAACCCGTTTTGGAACTGCGGGGCTGCCACTATGATTTGGGTTTGGGGGGCCTTATTAACGTTGAAGACAAGAAGCTCCCCCAAGGTGGGGAAGGGCAGCCACGTCATCATCAACGGCCATGTGGTCAGGGGCCTCGGCGTGGAAGCGGCCGCTTTAAGGGGGATTCTAGGGTCCCTTGTCGGGCTTTTGGGACCCCAAACCCTAAACCCTAAACCCCAAGAAGGGCCTCAAGCTCTCTGAGCGAGCCTGACCCAAGCCGGGGTTTCGGCTCGGGAGGCGGAAGCTCTGGAAGTTTTGACGAGGTCAACCCCTCAAGCCGTAAATCCTGAAATCCTGCGCCCCTAAGCCCGAAAATCTCAGCGCAATCCTGCACCCCTAGACCCTACACCCAAAAACCGTAAACCCAGAACTTAACCTCAAAGCCCCAAACCCTCAAATACAGCCCGAAACTCTAGACCCCACACCCGAAGCTGCGTTAGGAGCAACAAGAGTGGTTTCCGGTTTAGGGTTGAAGCCTGTCCTGGCAGAGCCATCCTGGCAGAGCCTTGAAATGGCTGTAGGGTTTGAGGGTTCAGGCGTTGCGGTGTTTGCTTGCTGCAGTTCGGACATCAGGTGTCTAGCATGTTCTCCTCATTGCGGTGGCTTTCTTTGAGTTCCCACTTGGAGGTTCATGGCACTTATTAATCAACTATACCTGTACTTCTTAACCCACTTATAAGCCCCTGAAGTGCCTTAATACGGTTATAAGTACAGTCATAAGTACAGGTATAATTGGTCAATAAGTACCATGAACCTCCAAGCAGTTCAGTTGAGGGCTTGCGTGAGCTGGAGGGAACCTTAGACTCTCAAGCTTGGAAGGGTTCATCGTACGCGTTCTAGGGGCTTCAGTACCTTGGGGCCACATGAACCCTAAAACGGTTTATGACTTATGGGTCATATACCTTAACAGAAGTTATAGTAGTAGTATAGGGTCCCTACACCCTAAATCCTAAACCCCAAACCCTAAATCCTAAACCAAAAAACCCTAAACCCTAAAGCCTAAACCCTTGGAAATTGTATAGTAGTATAGGGCACACGGCACTAATTTGGGGGTTCATGTGGTCTCCAAGGTATTCAGGTCGTTACCACAGGGAAGGAGGTTGCAAAATCTTGAAGGGTTTCGGGTTTAGGGTTCTTATGCCCTTGGGTCGGGATTTGAGTAGCACATGAGCTCGAACCCCCATATCCCAAAACCCCTAAAGACCTTAAAGCCTTTAAAGCCCTAACGCCCTTAAGCCCTAAAGCCTCAACCCCTAAACCCTAAACCCTAAACCGCTCTGAACCCCCTCTGAATCCCTCTGAACGCCCTGAAACCCCTGAACCTTAAACCCTCAAACCCTCAAACCCTCAACCCTAAACCCTAAACCCTAGATCCTAAACCCTAAACCCTAAACCCTAAGCCCTAAACCCTAAACACAACCCCTCAGCCCACGAAGCCGAAGGTCACTAGCATGCTGTCCGCGGCGGGTCCCCTTTTGCAGCTCGACCTGCGCCTCGCGCGGGCTTTGCCTTTAGGGATTTAGGGATTTAGGGGTAGGGTTTAGGGTTTAGGGTTTAGGGTTTAGGGTTTAGGGTTTAGGGTTTTAGGGTTTTAGGGTTTAGGGTGTAGGGTTTAGGGTTTAGGGTTTGGGTTTCGTGACTTGGAGGGTTAGGGCTGTTTTGGTTTGCTTTGCATAACGAGGATTCGGATCGTAGCATCCGTTATATACCTTTTGAGGGAGTATATGAAGCAGGGTTTATATTACTGTTTTGGTGAGTGTATATAAGGTTCCCTTTTAATATTGGTGAGTGTATGTACCTGGTGTCCTTTTGGGAGCACAAGAAATATATACCCTACTTCATATAAGTTACCTAATTCCTTGGTTCCCTACTAAGAGCTCGTAGGACGAAGGCTGTTTATGCTCTAGTGACTGCCCCGAGGCAAAAGTAACTTGGACAAGTTAACTAATTATGGTCCCAAGTTGTGGTGGATGAACACGTATCGAAGGCAGAGACTTACCCTAGACCCTCACCCCTAAACCTTCCAACCCTAAGCCCTGAACCCCAAACCCTAAACCCTACACCCTAAAACCTAAACCCTAAACCCTAAACCCGAAACCCTGAACCCTAAGCCCCATGAACGCTGCGGAGCCGGGCCAGGATCGACCAGCCGATCCGCAGGAGGAGCATCGTGGACATCATGCACACTTCCCTGGAAGGCCGGCGGCCCCTAAACCCTGACAGTCCTTCATATTTAGGGTTTAGGGTTTAGGGTTCACCCGAAACTTGCGAAGTTCCCCGTTATACTGATAGTCCTTAATAGGGATTCTCGTACCCCTTTGTTCTAATCCCGATGAAGGACCGTCAGTATAAGGGGGAGCATCCCGAAACCCGCTAAACTCTCTAGGCAGATCCTCTAACTCCTCTATGCTAAGACCCTAAAGCCCTTGAAACCCTCTAAACCTTATCTGAACCTTAAACCCTAACCCCTCTGAACCCCACACTTGAGAGCCCCTAGCTCATGTTCCCTTTGCGGGGGTTTAGGGTTTAGTGATTTGGGCTGCCTCTAGATCCTAAACCCCTAAACCCCTAAACCCTAAACCTTCCTTCAGGGGCCCGCACTCAAAAGGGACTCCCCTTTTGAGAGCTGACCAGCGTGTTCTTGGATTTAGGGTGTAGGGACAGAGGAGTTGGGTAGGACCCTAATCCATAAACGCAGATCCCTCGACCATGGGGCTTCGGGGAAGAGGGTTGGGTCTAGGGGCTCAGGGGTTCAGAGAATTCATGGGTTTAGGGTTTAGGGTTTACGGTTTAGGGTTTAGGGTTTAGGGTTTAGGGTTTCGGGTCGGGGAGCCAGGAGATCCCTGAGCCCCTGAAGATCCTACACCAAGAATACCGACCCCTGCGGCTCAAGTCCCTTCGCTTCGTGGCTCTTAGTAGGGAATTCGGACTACTTGGATTCCAGGGTTTAGGGCTTAGGGTTTAGGGTTTAGGGGCTAGGGTTTAGGGTTTAGGGTTTAGGGTTTAGGGGTACCTGTAACCCCATCTATAACTGTACTTATAAACCAACTAAGTCCTCTGAGTAGGTTACAAGTAGACGTAGAATTTGGGGGGGGGGGGGGGGGGGGGGTATAAGTACCCACGAACCTCCAAGTAGAGGGTGGATGTATGGGTTCCCTAACTGAGTCTTGAAGCCTTGTCGGAACATACGTTCAGCCAGAATCTCCTTAAGAATGCCGGAAGCCCCTAACCCAACCCCAAACTGTCCAAATTCTAAGCCCTAAAGCCCCTAAACCACAAACACCAAGCCCTGACCCCTGCAAGTCCAAAGGTAGAAGGCGCACACCTCCGAACCCGGCTTAAGCCTCCTAAACCATAAGAATCCGCCCTCAATCCTGACACCCCAAACCGGCAGCCGGCACAATTAGGCTTCAGAGGCGCCGAAAACCCCTGAAAACCCTAAGCCCAAAATCCTCCCTAAAGGCGCAGACATCTTTGCGCCTTCCTCGGAAAGACCCAGGGGGGGTTAAGGGGTTCACGGTGTAATGTGCTCAGAGCCATAGAGTGGGTTGGGACAGGGGGCCTTGAAGTTTTGGGGTTTAGGCTTTTTGAGGTTGACTTACGTCGAGGTATAACTTGTTTTGTAAGACGTAAAGAGTTTGTTGCTCTCTGGGCTTGGGATTGAGGGTCATGGTGTGTTTTGCGCAATCCGCTGAGCTTGGCCTTTCTTTGGGTGGCCGTGATGCGGACTTGCGATGCGAAGATGGATGCTACTTAGTGCAACCTCGAAACCCAATGGGCCTTGTGCACGGGCTCAGTGGCAAGCGGGAGACAGTGTGTAGTAGCATGATGAGAAATGAGCATCTTCATCCCTAACCGGTCCTAAACCCTAAATGTTAAACGATGCACATCCTACTAGTCCTCAGTAGGGCACGAAGAAATTCGGCAACCTTTGTCCCCCCCATATATGGGTGCGGCTCAAAAGTCTAGGTATGTAACCGGCTCCCGGGCATCTTTCCGCGACATAGGGTTTGTAACAAAGCCGTCCGCGACAAACCTCCGCGACAAGCCTCCGTGACAAGCCTTTGCGACAAGCCCCTTTTGGAACTGCAACTTCGACTACGCAGGCATTTAGACAGCACGCGAAACAGCCGCGACAAACCCCGCGACATACGTATGAAACAGGTGGGCACGACGTACGTGTGTAGCACAGGCGGTGGTCGGGACACCGCGACTATTTAGAGCCACAGCCATATACCCCTTTAAGGGATTGTATAGGGTACCTACGTCCCTCATTTCCTCACAAGACCCCCAGCAAGACATGTTTGCCGCACATCTGTTCTCCACAACCCTCAGCCCTAAGCCCCAGTAGTTAGGACTCGGAGTAGGGCGCTTATTCCCTTTGTGTGGGTCCTTATAACCTGTTTAGAGGACTGTTTAGGGTTTACGGTTTAGGGTTTAGGATGCAGCCTTTAACTGCCTTCCAGAATACAATGAACAGGCTCAAAGCTTCAAGGATGACCCCGAACCCTAAACCCTAGAAGTACTCTTCACCCTAAACCCTAATCCTTGAACCCTAAACTCTAAATCCTGTTGCCGACTTGTGCGCTTAAGGCTGTGGGAAAGTATTGTGGCTTTGGGGGGGGGTTCTGCCGAAACCCCCATTTCGTTGGTCTGCTGAGGCGCACCAGACGGACCGGGACGTCAAAAGCGAGTGGATGCGGTTCTGCGCCCTCTTGGCATGGTACACAGTTTCCAAAACTGGGACCTCCAAACCCTACACCCTACACCCTAAACCCTAGACCCTTAATCCTAAACCCTAAACCCGAAACCCTAAACCCTAAACCCTAAACCCTAAACCCCTGCATGTACAGTGATCGGGTTTTGGGTTGAAAGCT